AAATATGCGGAATCCTGTTATTTGTGTGTATTTATTTGTGTGTCCCTGGGCCCCTTGACAAGCTTCTGACCTGTCGTGGTCCAGGGCTCGCCGCCGCGAGTGTCCTCACCCCTGCCGGCTCCCCCATTGGGGTGCCCACGCGCCACGCTTGCTCTATCGCGGTGACCACCTGAGTGTGAGTGAGCCTGTGTGTGAGTGAGTCCAGGTCTGACTGAATATAAGTGTGAGTGAGTCTGAGTATGAGTGAGCCTAAGTTTGAGTGGGTCTGAGTATGAGTGAGTCTGAGTGTGAGTGAGGCTGAGTGCGATTGAATCTGAGTGTGAGTGAGTCTGTGTGTGTGAGTGAGTCTGGGTATGAGTACGATGAGTATGAGCGTGAGTATGATCAGGTCTGAGTGCGAGTCTGAGAATGAGTGAGTCAGAGGGTGGGAGAGTCAGAGTGTGAGTAAGCCTGATTGTGAATTCGTTTGAGCGCGAGTGAGTTTGATTGTGAATGAATCTGAATGTGAGTGAGTCTAAATATCAGGGAGCCTGGGTGTGACAGAGTCTGATTGTGAACGACCTTGAATGTACTAGGATCAGAGTGCAAATGAATCCGTGTGAGTGTGTGATCTGAGTATGAGATGGTTTGAGCATCAGTGAGCCTGAGTGTTAAGGATGCCCCATCTCTGGATATGGGGAGCACGGAGGAGGAGGAGGATGAGGAGGAGGAGGAAGGTGCGAGGAGTTTGGGGTTTCTAAGCAATAACAGCAACCCCATCTGAGGATATGGGGAACACTGGGCCTCTGACTTGTTTTAGTTCTTTTCTTGTATGTCGATTTCGGGCCCAGGACAATCAAACATGGATCCAGAATTCGCACATCTCCCTGGGAAAAAAAGGGGGCCAAAGAGGGCCCGAGGATTGAACAAAAACATCGTCGGATGTCTTGGATCTGAATTCCGAGCGCGTTCGAGGAGGGATCGAAGGATTTAAATGTTTAGGCTTCTTCGACTTGCCCACGAATGCGGACAGCATCTCAGGGCTCGTCCGGGCGGCGCTGCCTCCTTCCTGCTCGGATGCGCGGTCAAAATGCTGGAAGCACAAAGTCTAGCTTGAGGCTTCCAGGCCGTCGCAGCACAGCCGATCAGGCGCGCTCCTGCCCCAAAAAGGAGGAGGGAGGAGCAGGGAGGATGAGGAGGAGGGAGGGAGGGACGTGAGGACGACAATCAGATGAGCAAGACGGGGTCGGGTTGCAAGCGGCAAGAACGTGTATTAAGCCCCGCGCCATCAGTGGGATCGCTTTGCGGGAGCTGGGATTGCACAGCGCTCCTCGCGTTTCCTCAAACCACGAGCTCGGTCACAGCCTGGGCCGCCTCCGCGAAGCCGAGGCGCTTGTTGCCCCAGTCGAATTGCACATAGTACTTGCGCATGAAGACGTCGCCCAGGATCCACAGTGGGCCGCGCGGCGGGGGCACGTCAACGCTCATCAGGCCCAGGATGCACGTCGAGCCCTGGGCCTGCAGGATGAGGTCCGCCTTCTTCAGGGCAAAGTCCTTGCCGTCCAGGGTAAAGGAAAGGTCCGCGATGTCGGCGTTGCAGTCGATCGAGTACGCCTTGCCCATGACACTCTTCGCGCCGAGCTTGTCCGCGATCGCTTTGATGGCATCTGTGGGGCCCGCGAGAAGGGAGGTACCCGAGTCGACGATGGCCTTGCCCTGTCCGGCGACGGAAAAGCTGCCCAGCTTCGCGCCGTTCAGGTCGACCTCCCAATAGGTCTCGGAGCTCAGAGGCACGAAGGTAAAGTCCCCCGTGTAATGCTTGTGGTCCACGCCGCCGAAGACCAGCTCTCCAGGCTGGTTGTTGCCGAGGTAAAATGCGAACACCGGCTCGGCCAGCTGGCCAGACTCGACCAGTGCATGCATGGGAGTCGGTACGCCCCCGACGGAGATGGAGTCCCACCCGAGGCCCAAGATGCCGTCGAATTTACCCAGGCGGTACGCCAAACCCAGGCCCGAAGTGTCAGTGACCTCGGCGAACGTGTAGTCCTTGAGCTGCAAGTTTCCGATGCTGACGGTGTCGGAGGAATAGTAGCCGCTGACAGGGCCAGACCCGTACTGGATCTTGAAGACGGTGCCGTTCTTCTTGTAAGTGCTGGACTTGTCATGGCTGTAGACCTTGTGGCTTGAGAACCACGGCTTGGTCTGGGGCACCCAGAGATTCGATGAGCCCGTGTCGAAAATGACCGACTCGGTCTGGCCCGGGGTGCCCACGGTGATGTCGCCGTAGTACTCGGCGTTCTGGTAGTCCTGGATCACGACGTCGCTGGTGGTTCCTTCGACAGCTCCGTACCTCGCCTCCATGCGCGAAGCGCTCAGGTGGATGGACTCGATCCTCTCCTGGAAGTCGAACTCGCGGCGCTGCAGTGGAAACCTGGCGAGCTCCGCGCCCACCGCCGGCACGGAAGCCGCGGCTGCGAGGGCCAGCGCGCGCGCCGGCATCCTGGGAGAAGCTGCTCTCCGAATCTGCGAGGCGTGCCGAGGGCGCCGATCAAAGCCGAGCTTGGGCCACGATCGCTCGAGCCAGAATG